AGATGGGTTTAACAAGTAGTGTAGAACAGCTTATTCATGTCCTGGATGGGGATGGACTAAATGAATTGGCAAGCCCTTTCTGCCCTGTTTTCTGTATGTGCACAGTGCAGCATTCATCACATTTTTGAGACACAAGGGGAAAAGCGCTGATGATTGTTCACTGAGGTTTCCATTCAGAACATCAGCAGTTTTGAATTACAATCAACAATGGAAGTGGACATGTTAGAAAAGGCAATTTTTGTGCTACATGCCATGATGGTAGAGAGAAGCTTTTGCCTGCCCAGGCTTCTTTTCTGGGCCTAAGAGCCAGGTGTTATCTCCACAGCCAAAGAGCCAAACTTCAGGAACTGTCTCTGAGGTCATCTTTATTATTGTTGTTGCTGTTTATTATTATTATTATTCCCATAATTATTATAGCAATTTTCTGTGTGACTGTTTCCTGTTTGATGTTTGTGGGAGTGTACCAGGTTGTCATGCCATGTTGGGAGAGAAAATAGTTAATTTCTGTTTTTATTTATGTCACATGCAAAGAACATGCAACAGAAAACAAATATGGAGAAAAAGGTCATTCCTTCTGTGGCAAATACATGGCTTCTCTGAAAATGAGCATATTGCTGCTCCTGTTCTGTTAATTAACATTCTTAGGCTTCCCAAATAATTTTATAGATTGCTCAGTAAAAATGACAAAGGACAAAAGCTCATAATCTTCTCAAGACTTCACTGTGAATTTCCAGTTTTTTTATATGGTTTATAGAGCCCTTAGTCTGACTGTTGAGATTTGCCAGAGATAAGAACAGACCATGGCTTCTGCTGTTCAGAACACAACACAACATCTTGTCCTTTTGGGAATTACTGCATAAGTTTTAAAGAGAATGTTAGGGGTTTGTTGTTTTTTCATATTTTTTTTTTTAATAGATGAGCAGGACTTGGTACCACCAGTAACATGATCTAAGATGAGTCTCCTCCCCACGTGCTACTGTTAATTGTCCAAGTCTACAGATGTACACTTAAAAAGGTGTAAAAACACCAAATCAGGTTACATTATCACATCTGATTTTCTGAGAATTAGGAGCTGTTTAATGTCATTAGAGTAGCTGCTCAAAAGGGATATTATTTCCCCTACTACAAAATCCTAGCAGGCACAAGTGAAATGCACCCATGTCCCTAGAGGAGCAGATTGCCAGCAGATTGTATTTGCTAGCACCACTCCAGCACAAGAGGTTTCCCAACTTCTTGGTGTATTTGGGCCAGCCTAAGAGATTTGCTACCTGGAACTACAGAAGATGATGCTGTGCCAGCTCAGAGACTCCTAACAGAAGGCTACATAGGATTTTTTCAAATAAATACATGTGCCACAGTAGATTACTTGTAATCACTCAGGTGTCTAGGCTTTTTGCAACAAAACTAAGACACAGAGGACAATTTTGGTTTCCAAGATGATTCCCTGCACATGGAAGCCAGAACACCATCCATACTAGGACCAGAAAGCCATGAGGAATTCCTACCTATCTCACCCTGCTGACCTAATTAGTTTCTTAGCCAGAAACTGTCAGGCTGGATCAACACATGTTGTTTAAACAGTCACATGAAAACTATTACTTTTAAGAAGAAATGCCCTGTGGGTCACAGTACAAGATATTTAACTCTGTTTTACTACTCACTGTGAAGCCAGCTGCATAAAAAATCTGAACAAAAGTTTTCTACTTCCTCTCTGGCTTGGTATCAGAGACTGCTCAGAAGTTGTTTTCCTGTTATCATTGCCTTTATTAATGTTTTACATACACATCCATAAATGCTACCCAGCAATCAGGTACTGTGTTGTTTACTCAGTAACTTTATTCTGCTGATCACTATGTTAAAATATCACTAGTGTTGTGTTGTCAAAGATTCCTTTTGCAGACACATGGGAAACCAGAGCTTGCTTCCTGTAGTCTTGTGGAGACCCGTGGAGCTAAAATGTGTCTGTGTCAAGTTTACAAACAGGTTCAATGAACAACCCCCATGTATTACAAGATTATTACTCCAACCACCAAAGCTTGGGATCTCCCTTATGTTAAAGGAGGCTATCATAGGGCTGTTAGAGAAAGCTCACAAAATATCATTAGGCCTTTCAATAGCACAATGGCTTTCCTCTCCATTATCACAAAAAGCCTTAGTATAAATACCAACTATGTGAATGTATTTAGCCTAAAAGCCTAAAATCTCCTTGTATTAGTTGTGCCTCTCTTAAGATTAAGCCCACTGGATTTCTGTTTGCTGAACACTTGTGCACCCTTTTCATAGATAAAGGTTGTCCCAGGCTGGCTTATGTTGTATTGCAGTTGGCAATTGCAGTTGGATATTGTTGAAGGGCTCTTCCCATGATGGATGACAGTCCTTGAGTAGTGGTATCAAGTGTTGAGGTGAGAAAAGATGAAGAACATGTACATCAGGATGTGTGGGTGCAGCAGACACCACAGAGGGGCTGCAATCCATTCTCTCTGTATGAGAACCTCCTTAATTTGTGACTATTTTTAATCTTGACTTCAACTTTGCAGCACAGTCATATTGTAACTAGTTCATTCTCAGCTGCTCAGTTCTTCAAAAATGGCCACTAGAATTCTTACAAGCTTGAAGGTTTATTAACCTTTTTCTTTTTTCCTCTTTTTTTCCCCTTTTTAGCTAAGAGAGGAATCAGAGGAAGCAGCTCCTGAACCACAAATTGATCTTGAAGATCTCCTGGAGGTCCCTAATGAAGAACAGAAATTAAAACTACAGGTCAGATAAAGGGACTTGACTTTAAGCTAGGGACTTCATAAAGAGCAGTAGCTGTGCGGGATACAAAATATGTATATACGGGGTTGCTGCAGGAGGCTTTCCTGTGTCTTAGCCTGTCAAATGTATTAAGATTATATCCTCTTTTTGTAGGGAGGGGAGAACAGGTCAAGTCATAAAATACTAAAATGACTCCTCCTTGGTTTTTAGGAAATCCTCCATGAGTGCTCCAGCCCAACAGAGGTGAGTGAAGCACCATTAACATATATTTGCTATATTGTGCTGTAAGAGTGTGTCTTTGCTGCTGCTTGGCTGAACAGCCAAGTTATTACTGTGCCTAACGTGATGCTGCAGATTTGTCCAATTCCCAGTGGGAGATGTTTACCACTTCATTCTGCTGTGTTAGAAAAACACAAGTAAATCTACATGGGTGAGCTGAAGGCAGAGCAGTGGAGCAAATAAGGAAGTGTGCTTTACAGCCAGAGAAAGTTCATTCCATGCTTTTGGAATCCTAAGCTGATCAGGCTGCTATTTGGTCCTCAGTGTAGAAAAGCCATGACAGTGACAGAGCTCACATAGCCATCTTTGAAACCACTCTACTGTTTTAAATGACAAGAATGTAGGCTGGCCCTCAGATTGCATTGGGCAGAGAATTGTTGAGCAGTGGCCATGTAAGAGAGTTTTACAAGATTTTTTCTCCTATGTGAACTTTTCAAGTACTGGCTTTGAGTTAGAGAGCTAAAGAAATCCCATTCACTGTCACCATGTCCAAAGGAGTGGAGCCCACACCATACAGCAACTGCCTTCACTGCACTGCATGCCTGTGCAAAACAGGGTCCCTCATCACTGCTTCAGTGGCAGGCATGGCATGTGAACACTGTGCTTGGACATCACTCATCAGTCTCCCCATCTTGTCCAGCCTATGTAGCTGCAGTGATGAACACACTGAAAATGAGGTGGATGCAGGACTGTCATTGAAATTAAACTCAGCTGTAGCAATCGTTACAAACTGTTTCCTAACAGGGGTTCA